AGCGTTTCTCCAGCGTTTCATCAGCGCTTGCAGCGACGGGGCTAGAGAGGGCCTAGAGAGAATTGAAGGGAGGAGAGTATTTTGTACTCTCCTTCTTTCAATACTCTCTAGCCCCGCTAGCGCTTGCAGCCAGGGTACAGCATGGGGATGTGTCAAATGGCGGTGTGGGTACGACCCCCCTCCCCTTGAAGAGGGTCTAGATACGACCCCCCCCCTCCTCCTGCTCTAACTGACAAACAGATGCAAGTTCACCACAAATGGCTTCCTGAAATGGAATCTGGATTCTCGAAAGGCGCACTCTGCTCTAAAAATACAGGAAATAAAAGGCTGTTTCAGCCTCACGGCGACCGCAAATGAGGCTGAACAATGAGCCTCGCATTAACCTTACAATTTTGTCTTAGGACTTCAAAATAAAACTCCTCGTTCCGATAACTATGTATGGACGATGCAACATTGCTAAAAGGAAACACAAATGAAATAGGCGGCTAATGTGATCACCTTGATCTAGGCTGAATTGTGAAATAAAAAATAGCCGCAAGGTGAGCGTGTCAGGGCCTCAAGATGTGAGCATTCAGATGACATTGGTGACGGGAAAATAATGAAAACATGCGAACACAACAAAAGCGAAACATGGAAAAATACAAAAAATGCAGAGCTAAATGAAAAAAGGATAACGAGGCCGGCAGTAAATCATTCTCAGTACTTGGCTATTATCGATCAGGCTGCAGCGCCAAGGCTTGCGACCGGGCTTTCTTGTTGGAAAAACGTCATTGTAGCGGCGTTGTTGGACTTGCCAACGTCCTGGGGTCTGTTCGGGTTATATTTTTTTAGGTGCGGAGCTTTTGAGGAATGTGGGCAGCATGCAACGGCAAAGGTTTCTACTGTTGTGTATTCTATTCCGTAGTTGCAAACTGAACAATACCCCGTTGGTGAAATATTTCCGATGGTTTTGGATAGGCTAGGGCTAAATCGCGATCTGGTTTTCCATGCTTCACGTGAGATGCTTCGTTGCTAACGCAATTAGCATCAGGATTAAAGTCGTCCTGAAACCCCTCCATCTTTTCTGCTTTCCAATAAGCTCTACAGTTTGTTTCTGAAGACCCACTAGTTCAGGAGATATTTTAGATGGGTCACAGATGCGGCCACCCTCTGACCCACCCGAAAAAATGACTCCTTATGTGCCTTGTGAGGATACACCTTCGGAAACTTCAGTGTGCTTCAAACACAATTTCTTCAATGAGTGAAGAGAAGCCTGATCGATAGCCATATCTCTGATCGAATTTGGTCCCGTGCGCCGTGCACTACGCTCCAAACAGCAGAGGTGTGGAAAGGTGTAACTTCTGTTTCCAGGTGTTTTGTCCATTGCAAGCCAGTTGTTTGTTTAGAGGTTGTGTAAAGGACAACACACGAATCTGTTTGAAACGTATTATTTAGTCATCTACGTACTTACGAGTACATTCTATAGAACTGACACTTATTATATTTAGTTATTTATTGCTTGCTATATGGCTAAATAATTCTTTTATTAGTTTGTATTCCCATTTACATCCGGGTCTTCTGAAGCTTTCGTTCGTTCCACTACCTTAGCAATGACACCTTTGTACTGTTTGATGCCTAAGGCGAGCCTACTTTTGCGATACTCCCCACATCCCCCGTGGCCAAGTACGAACCCATTCTTGGGGATTTCCCATGAATAAGAGGGCTGTTAAAACGTAGCATTTAAAGCTGTAGAGAATACACTCATGATAAACTTCATTTTTTTTTAAAAACATTCTTGACTTCCATAGCTCCACTCCCACAACATCAGCTGGAATGTCGAACCATTGCTCGGCTCTGAGTGACCCTTGAGACTACACCCCACCCCTCCACCCCCGGTGCCCAGCGGCCAAGTACGACCGACCCCCTATGGGTTTCGCACAACGATGCTGTACCCTGCTTGCAGCGACGGGGCTAGAGAGGGGTAGAGAGTATTGAAGGGAGGAGAGTATCTTGTACTCTCCCACATTCAATACTCTCTAGCCCCTCTCTAGCCCCGTCGCTGCAAGCGCTGGAAAAAACGCTGGAGAAACGCTGGTAAAGCTAGCTAGCATAGCTATGCTTCCCGTGCCCTCGTACGCTGGAAGCGCTACGCTACGCTACCGCAAAGTATAAACGCAGCCTTAAGGGTTTTCCCCATCGGTTTTACATACCTTTTTACTGTTTACAAGTTCGTGTTTGAGCTCTAGCACATCTTGCAATCTTGGAATATGTCTTTGGGCGGTGTTCGGTTGCGTTGGGTTGAAAGGTTGGGGCGGAGGGGGGAGGTGTGCGCATATAGTTTGAGATGACCTTACAACGCACTTCGGCATACTTGCAAGTGGGATACCCCCGCTTAATTGCTTACACTGACTGGTGACCTCTCACGCCAGGCTCACTCAAGACAGAATAACGAGATATGGAATTGATAAAAACCTCATCACTTTGTTTATTGAAACACCAGTTTGGCTGGTGCGCGCTACTGCGCGCCTGGCGTGATAGAAAATGCGAAATGTTCACCATAGTGGATCGCGATTAATGCTAAGTTTTTTTTTCTTTCTCGTATGATTATCGCTGATTCTTTTCTTGATTGTGCTGTAGACCTCACGTGAACTACCCTTTCCCCTCTCGTTGGTTGGACGTGCAGTAAAATAATAGGTGCTGTATACTTAGCCTGAAATACGTTGAACCTGGAAGTATAGTGGTAAAAAAATTAGGAGAAAGTAAGCTCTTACCTCTTATTTACGCCTATCAGTTGATATAATCCCTTGCCACCCGTGATCTACCAGAAAATCTTCAAGATTTGGTAGTGTGAAAGAGGATAACGCCTCTCATCTGCCCCTATCAGTTGTTATCCCTCTCTGTGACCCATTAGTAATAACCCCGTCACATCCACTATATCACTTATTGGAACCAATTTCCTATTGCTACTGTGACGGGCGACGCTTGAGTTTCAGATTCCCTTCTCAGATTATAATAATTCTTGATGCGTCCTGCCACCCATAAATAATCTTCATGACCCATACACTACGTCGTATCTTAGACCTTAAGGACCCACCGATGCTGAAACCCACGTTATGAACTTGGTGATCTTCACCTACACCCATTATCATCCCTTGTCAGCTAATATCACTTCCTGCCACCCACCAATGAAGTTCATATCCAACCCCCTATTGATGATGGATGCAGAAAACTGCGCTTTTACCCGTTTGCAAGAAGGCGGTTCAGTGGAAAATTTATTACTTATGTGAAGAGAGAGCGCAACGGCGTGGGACGAGTGTGTCATACGCCACAAAAACGTGAATGTGATCCAAACAAATCTACAGGTTTGCTCCGCCTTCACGAGAGTCGGAGAGGGAGCTGACGTTGAAACAGACATGATAACGGGAGGGAGGTCGTCACCTATGTCACTTCTTGGAATCAACGCTCCACCGCTGCAGCGCAAGTTATGAACTTGGTGACCCTACCTTTTAGACCCCATGTCAGCTGATATCACTTCCTGCCACTCGCCCCATCATCCATGTTCGCCATCTGCCCCCCCCCCGTATCTTACCTAGTTCGAACACTCTCCGGCTGAATCGAAGAATTCATCGAATTCTCAAAGACACATCCACACACACACACACACACACACACACACACACACACACACACACAGCACCACAGTGGCACACACACACCAGCCCACCACACAACACACATACCACAAAGACTTAGGCGAATTATACCACAGAAGCCGCACACGTGGCTACGAAAGAAAGCTCCATTCTATATAACTCTTCACTTATCTTTATTCACTTAACTCATAGTCAGTAACTTGATGAGAAGTCAGCAGTTAGCGTAAGCAATTAAGCGGGACTATCCCACTGGCAAGTATGCAGAGGTGCGAAAAAGTAATTATAAGGTCATCTCAAACAATATCCCGTTGAAAGGGTATCTGTGCGCTCTTCTTCCGGACATTGATATAGTGTAGTTCATTGCGGACGGTAGGGCGTGTTCGTGCGTCTGCGTTTGGCGCGGTGCCAAACTCAATATCCACGAGTTGTTCGAGCGAGCAAATGACAATACTGTATCATACCTTTCGTATTACTCGTTTTCTACTGCTTTTTGTCGCATGCCCGTTTCAACAAGAAGGCATAGAACAGCTCAAAGAGGGTGACACACTCATACTGGCTGACACGCCCAACCGTCCGCAGCGAAGTAGAGTGCATGTACGGTGACGTTGATGCTCTTATGATATCACATTCATTTTTATGACATTGTTACAAAGGGCGGTTCTTCGCGTTTACGACTCTTCCTCTTAAGACTCAGTAATGCACGATCGGGAGGTAATCATGCTTCATCGGGCATTGATGAATGCTAGGCGAATTATTGTATACAGGAAACTCATGTAGCAACGAGGAAATTGTTTCTTACAAGGACTGACTGCAATGAAACGAAATTTCCCAGGGCTTCGTGGGAAGAAGGACTAGGAGGTTAGTCGAACCACATTTGATGAAAAGACAGTTACGATACTTTTTTCCCCAGCCATAATTGCGCCATAATTGCACCTTTCCAGTCAGGATGCGTTTCTTGATGGGAAATGTTCTGATACGCTCCACACTTCCCGTAAAGTGAAAGCTCTCCGTAAAGTAAAACGAATCATAGTATATCAGTGTGGCTTATAGTATCGTCCATATTGGTCCCTGCCCTGGAAGGAAAATGCAGAGATACTCCCTCCCCCCTCCTCCCCCCCTCCCCACGTAGCCGAACAGCGCCTTGCAAGGAAAAGCAACTGATTTTGCATTTCACTGTCTCTTACAAGAATCTTCAATAGTGTCGAAAAGAATGAACAGGCGCGACTATTTTAGATCAGTGAAACTTGATCGTTTCGTAAATTTCAATTCTCCTCTGTTCGTTGTCTCTGAAGGGATTTTGATTCATGCGATGACTGCAGGTCTCCTGTTCCGTCACACTTGAGCGCTGAATCGAAGCCTGGCTCGGTGATGTCGTCGATTCCGGCCTATCCCTGTGACCAATCGTTTGGCAGTACAGCGGTGAGTTTTTCTCAATGTTTGTGCCATTGCTTCTTTGAGGTAATGTCTGCTGAGCATTTTTTGCTGTAACTGCGATTACAGTCCTCCACATCCCAAGCGGTTACTCCAACTCCATTCGCAGCCGCCGCTACTGCGAATGGTTCGACCACCATCGAGGGCTCGTCACAAAACGGTGTGGAGCGAGACCGTGTGATCGGGAAAAACTTCTTGACTCGACCGATCTGTGTGCAGACGTTCTCTATCAGCAGCATGCCGAATCATCTGGCCATCTCGGATAGTTGTGGAGGTGAGTGACAACTACGTGAATGATCACCACTGGCTGGCATAACTGTCCGATTCCAGGAGTGTATATCACGGATTCTGAAGGAAGGATCAAGGAACACGTGCTAGTAAAGAACTCGTCGGCAAGTTCGGTGGCCATCGATGAAAAGAATGACGTGATGTGCTTTTTAATCCTTTATTTCTTTTAGTTCTTTTTCATTTTCTCTGTTGCTTTTCTTTGTTCTCGGGCAGTCTTATTGCGATGTTGTGTGCCACCGTCTATTATTCCATTCTTCTTTCTCTCTCAAAGTCCTTTTCTCCCTACAGACCTTGTTCCTTGTTCTTTCTATCGTTATTGTTCTCTTGTCTTCTACTGCATTGCGAGAGCACCATTGCCTTTCCTGGTCTGTTGTGGGTAATCGATAATAAAACTGAGGTTTCTGACATGTAATCGGTTTCCCAAGCATGGAAGGGCTTCTTTTTGCAATACAATCTCTAGGAATGTCTATATCAACCACTTTCCATTTACGAGCTTTATTGTGTTTACTGTGTAAGGCTTCTCTTCTGCTCTGCTTATCTCCTCCTCTTCCTGTCGGCATTGTTCTGCCCTTTTCATTAATTGTTCCAGGTACGTGAGCATAATGCAATCAAAAGGACGATCGGTACACGTTTTCGACATCGCTAACGGCTTCCGAAAACTTGATGTTAGTTCGATGGGCCAGTCACTTCTTGGAAATTCCTCTCCAATCTCTTATAATTCAGGTTATTCCCTGTCCAAAGGAACCCAAGATCGAGATGAGTCGAACGCGATGGCTAACCGTTGGACCGAGGGGCCAGCTGTTCATGGTTAGTGGAGACAATGTGAAAAGTGCTGTGTGGTGTTATGTGCGGGCCAAAAAGGTACCAATTTGATTTGGCCTATCTCTTCTCGAATTCTGAATAGCACCTTGCAGGCATGGAAAACTCTGAAAGAGTCGCGAAAAACTCGTTATCAGTATATAAGTGTGGCAGAAGATCAAGCGGAGTACAAGTGAGTTCCGGAGGATAAATTTTGTTTCGAACTCAACGCCGAGCTGTTACTCCTTCCTTGAACACGGGCGGGCTAGCCTGGTAACGTCAAGCAGCCCTCCTTTCAGTAGCCTGGATAGTTGCCCACTTGACGTCGGCCCTCCCTCCTTCCCGGCTTCTTCTCAGGAAGCAGAGTCCTGCGCAGTCCTGCGTGAACTGGGAGATACGAGTATGTGCATGTAGTCAGACCAATTAGGCAGACTTACTCCACATCTTATCCGTTGCCGATGGGGAGGCTTCGCTCGATTGAACGCTGGTTACTTCTTGCTAGGCTCACTCAAGAGAGAGCAACAAAATATTGAGCCAGAAAACTGTAATGCTGTCTTCATTTTATAACAGCCGTGCGCTGACATAATTACAAAAAGCAATATATACTGATCGGAATACTATTAACACTGTCGGAACATATACAGCTGTTTTTTAAGTATATCTAGGCACTTTCTTGAAGTACTGTTCTATGTCGTCGTAGACTCCGATTCGGTGAGCTTTCGAAAATTCATTAAAGGCAGTTGGCACGATAAACCCCTTAAGACGAGTAGGATTAATACGCCTGGCAGGACTAATTTCCGCGACCCTGAGCCTGAGCCCGCACGGCGGTTTCCCCCAGGAAGGTGCCTCTATAAGAGCCCTATCAACCCACAACTTTACGTCCCAAATGCCGGCCACGCCCGCCCGCCCACAAATGGACGACCGTTCCTGACGCTCGTATTCATTCATTTGCTTAGCGAATTATGAAGTGAAGGGATTGGTATGAAGCGGCCGTGAGCTGCATGCATACATGAGTACACATATGCAGCCGTATCTTCGGTAGCGGTGATTGGTAAGATGCCTACGGGAAACTCGTCCGAAATCGATTTACAAGTCACTGAGAACGGAGGCTCTCTCCTCGCAAGATTTTGACCGTTTCACTCCGTTCTTTTGCCATTTCCCCACTAGCGCCCTACTAGCATTTTAGGCTAACTAGGAAACCATCGTGCCAACTGCCTAAGCAAGATACTTCTTGTCATTTTTATTTCCTTATAGCTGATGCTGGTTGCCGCCTACATGAGGTGTAGTAATTTTTGGGAGAGGCCCATAAACTAACTTTATTCAAAAAAAGAAGGCTGACGCAGTGGGAAGCCAGAATGCATGATTAGAAGCTTGAATATTCGAGGTGTCAAGCATTGAGGGCATGCATCGGTTGCCCTGAAGAAGGTGCTGAAGAAGCAAAAACAGTTCAAAGTTTATGAAGTGCTCGGTCAAAGAATGTTATCTTCTAGACAGGGCACGCCATCGTTCTGATAATCACAGCAGAAGGGAGGGTCGTATTCGACCCCGTGGAAGGGGGGACGTGAGCGCATGGCCCTCTCTGAAGTGTGGAATGCAGCGATACTCAGATGTTCAGCTTCAATGATGAAAGACTTATTCATGTGAAGTACCTGGAGGGACACTTGGGAAGAAGCAACCTGCCAGCGCAGAAGTGAGGAATGGGCGATGGCAGGAAATACGACAGCCGCCCACAACCAATAGACAGATGAAAACATCCTTCCGGAACTTTCTGATCACAGGAGCACGTCTGCTTGCACGGAGGAAGCCCTATCTAGAAGTTGTACCTTCATAATACCTCTACGGAGGGCTCTGTGCCTGGCGCCTTACCGGGGTGGTGCCAATCGCCGCCGAATGAACTATTTTTCGATGCCCCTGACGAAAAAATATGTTTTAGAAGCATATCAAAGTACTCAAATGGACTGGAAGCGGTATGGCGTCGTAAGGGTGGGTTTCCCGGGTCATCCGAAAGGGTGCTTCACATCACAACGGGAAATTTTTTTCGAATAGCAGACCTAGGAATAAAATAAAGGCCTCGCTAGAAAGTAGAAACCTTTGGAATCCCGTCATTGCTTTTTGTTTTACAAATGGCCTTGTATGAAGCTTGTTATGGCTGTTCAAAGCGCAAGAACTTGTAAATGGCCCCAAGTGTCACGCCGAGATTACAACGGAGAAAGTTCCTTGGAGAGAGGGTTCCCTTCAAACCGCCTAAACTCAGGTAATAAGTGTTAGCCAAGTGCTCCACAGTCATGCTTTCCCCTCTTCAAAAGCTCCACTCTCAGAGAAGTTATGGGTGTTCAGCGAAGGGTACTTCCCGAGTGTTTGGCTTGGAACTGGATTCGGATCGTGAAATAGCTCGTTCCAATGCCACGGCACAAAGCTCTAACTCATCGCTCAACTCTGGATGGCCGCGAACAATTAATATTCAAGTGTTGGCAAAAGGATTGTTTTTTCTCTTTTTTATATCTCTTATTATGGTTCAATTATGATTTACTATTTTTGTTTGTTTATTTGTGATTTATTATGGCTCATTCTCTACGTGTTTCTCACACTTATCCTTGGTTACCGTCGTGTCTTTTTTTCGTCGTTTATTTTCGCAGATCTTCCATTTTTTTTCGGTGTTTGTCCCCTGCTAATCTAGTCCGCTGCTACCAGATTAGCAGTGGACGGGGGGGGGAGGGTCGTAACGGGGCCCCTTTTAGAGAGAAGGGGTCTATTCAGCAGAAATGGATCCCTATGCGATGGCGTGCCCTGCTTATAGAGCTGCTTAAGATTGGTCAAAGACATCACATCTATGCACTTGGGCCCGCTTAAGTTTGATGAGCAGCGGCTGGATTTCGTTGAGAGTGTGGTATCCTGTGATCCCTGTTATTTCCCATTATGTGATGTGAACATTCGTGAAGAAGCTGACTTAGTGGACCAACTACTGAACAAAATGGCGTTTGGTATGAGCTTTTGCAACGTCGAAATTGAAATCTTCAAATCGTTGAAAGCAAATTCCAGACATTACATGATACGCTGCTTTTGGCTATAAACTCCACAGAAAAGCTTCACTTTTTTTGACTTGACACGAAAAGAGAGGGTATCTTTGTTTTTTTTAATAAACTGGTCGACTCAATCACTTAATCACTTGAACATTAATTGAGGTTGAAGTCTCCAAGAAACGAGCACCTTAGCTTATAAAACAAGAACTCTCATAAGTACAAAACGCACAAGCAAGCTAAAAGCCTTATGGAGCTCGAAGACACAGCGTACTCTCAGCTGTTAGGTGCGTCCTTGGCATCTGGGGATAACAAGCCTACAGCTGTGAGAGCGTACGATTCCCCCGTCCGAACATGCGCGGAGGTTGGGATCCAGTACCGTGGGATAGGCCAATAATTCCACGCTCCGCCTAAAATGCAACCTGCGGCGTCGACATGCTAATGCCGTTACAATATCCTGGTTCCGTCTGTACTGAACCCAATCCGCGCGGCGCGTATCGCGCGCAGTCTCTTGACACTTTGCCAGGCCTTGTAATTGCGTCTTTCGAACACAATTAAAAGGCAAACTCCTGATGCGGATAACATTTAAGGTGTTGCTCATACTGGGCAAAGCCCAAATCGAAGCTGACGACGAAGGCCAGAAGTCAAGAGCAACTATGCTCTCCTGCAATCTCTCTCGCAAGCGCACGTTCTACTATGCGCCGTCAAGCATCCTACTATATCAGCCCGCTATGTTTGTCTATTTTTGTGGGTGTGTGTACAGTTTATATCGCGATCTGTTGGGTGGCAATCAGTGGTTCCCACCTGCGTCCCTACCACCTGTGGCTGGTTCAGGCGCGTAACTTTAGACGGGCCGCTAGTTAGGCTGGCTCATCTCGCACCTAGTCTCCCTTGCCAATGAGGAGCCCTCGCATAATTGAGTGACCACTTGTAAAAGGTGAATGATCGTGTCGTCCCTGGAATTCTGTAAATCAAATTAAACCTGTATCATCCCTCTTTTACTTACCTGTCTCTCGCCAATGTATCGCTGTACACCTAAGGTAACTGAAAGAAACGAGCCGGCATTGCCAAATTGGGATGGCTCGCAGGTGCGATGTGTGTCTGCGAAAAGGGGAGGGGTCTAAAACTGAACGCGTACATATGAAGAAGTGGCCGCATGCATTGTGCTGTAGTAAATGTCTGTAAAAGATCCATAAGCAATACGCGTTGGAGAAGAAGTAGGCTGGTGCAAAAATGACGGTATACTGAACAACTGATCAGATCCTTGTGTGGTCGGGGTGTCGATCGTCGAGGCCATGTACAATGATGAATGAAATTGTGAAGTGCTACCGATTGGGGTGTTGACATGATAGGTGCTGTGCATAGACGGAATCGCCGTAATAGCCTGAAATCTTGCTGAGGCACAAACACGGACAGGAGCTGTTTAGGCGGTTCTTCTGCTTGAACACTTGTTGATGCGATTGGCCTTCGAAGTAGCTGTAATACAAGGGAATCAAAAACAAGTTGTCTGATAATATGCGAAAGGTCGTCCGCTGTAAACTAAGTTGCTTGTAGCTGAGTTCGTGAGTACTTCTGTAATCCAACTATGACGTAGAATGTAACTCGTTTACACCTTCCAGACCGCTTTTCCATTTAAAGACACATGGTACGCTCAAACACATTGAGGGTGTATGAGACTATCAGCCCCCCAGCTGTCGATGTGTCGTGGTTCCCCCGCCCAAAACTGCACGGGGTCAGAGTACGGGACCGTGGGAAAGTCGTAATTCCTTGCTACGCCGCCCGTTTTTGCAAACTCACGTTTTTACTAACACCGTACGAGCCGCGCGGTCGCGTGCAGCTCTCTTGGCTTTTTGCCAAGTCCTGTAATTGCGCTCTGGAATACAAGTACAACGCAATTTCCTTATGCGCATGACATTTTAGGTGCTGCAAAATAAGAAGTGAAGATAATGACGAGGGCTAGAACTAAAGAGCAACTGTGCTGCTTCTGCAACAGCCCTCGCAGGCCGCGCATTCCCACAAAACATCAAAATAAAACGGCCTAAGCGTCCCACTCGTTAGTTCGAAGTATTTCTATAGCATTAGAGCCGGGTTCGAGCCAGATCGCAGAAATGCCCACGCGATTTTAATTTATTGCATTTCCTTAGTTTTTTTTCAATTTTGTTTTATTTACACCTACATTC